TATTTATTATTTTCACATCAAAAATTACACATAATTATCAAGAGTATATAATGGGAGTTCTCCCATATATACTCTTTGTTTCTATAATGTACGTCGATGGTTGCTCAATTAAAACTGACTTCTTCTCACTCACTCATTTGTGTCCTTTTTTTGTGGTGAGCTACAGTGTCATTGACAATTTAATTCTATTAATTTTAAGCAGTGTAGAGTAGATAGCCTTATTCTTGCTTTAAATATAAACAGCTTAATCATACCATTTTAATTGCAGTGGGTGTTTATGGTCAGATATCACAACAATGTCATTGCCAACATCTGCTGATGACATTTTTGCCCGACCATCTTCTCCACCTGATAGAGGAAACCAGCCTGTGCGGAACTGGCGACGATGCGTGATATGTTCTGAGCAGTCTTCCTTCAAGTCACCAAGAGAGTTTGCCACTCACTTACGAGAATTGCACAGCACTAGGGAGGGTGGCTCCTTCATCTGCCGATACGGACTGCACGGCGTCTGTCCGTCGCTGCCAGTGCTGGGTGTCAGTGACAAAGATTACGAAGACCATGTATCTCGAGACCACATACTTACTTCAGGTGTGGACACCTTACTTTCAGTTGAACTTCATATGATGGGAGGTTTCTGTGTTAAGCACCTGGCTTGCTAATTTTTCTATTATCTATATCACTGCATTTATCAAGCAAATAATCGTCACTTGGTCACCATTGCATGTAAACTAATGAAATGCAATGTAAGTAGCATTGCCATTACGCATATTCTATGTGCCAGTTTTAAATTCAGTGCGGGTTTGTGTAAGTAATTTTATGTGGCTATCACTCATTTGTCAGTAAAATTACAAGAAATCTATATAGACATGGGGCATCAATACAAAACTCCCCCTGACTCGCACAGTGATAAAGTGTACATGTGTAGGGTAAGGCAGAGAAGTACCCGGGTGATGCAAAGCTTCCACCCTAAATTTATAGACAATGATGTCGCTTCTCGCACCACAAGCCATATGCTAGATAGGCCTTGTTGTCTAGTGAAATTCCTGTCTGCATTGCCAAACTCAAAGAGAGAATGGGTTTTTCGTATGTGGCAAGTTGTAAACTATGCCTAATTCTTAGTAAAAATCTCTTGTTTTTTGTACTACATCTTACTCAGATGTGGTACTAAGTGTGTATCTACATTTTAGGGTGTTTACTAGACACTGCTTCTATTACTGCTGCTGCTGCTTCTTATACTAATAGTAATAGTGCTACTATTACTACTACTGCTACTGCTACTGCTACTGCTATTTCTACTATACTACTTCTACTACTACTTCTACTGAACATTGCTGCTACCACTACCACTACTTCTACTACTAATAACCTACCCTAACCCTATACTTTTTCCTTCGCTAAATGGGGGTTTGCCTTATCTTTGGAGTAAAGGGCCCTTTCTAAGTTTTTATTTGTCTATCGCTGAGGAAGAGATAGCCTGGTACCATCTGTAGCGTAATGGTTTCAGGTAGGACCGTGTTTGTTTGGAACATTGTTCCCATAGCTCTATCCACTTAAGAGACCCTCACCTTGCCTTACCCTACTACACTAGAAGGTGTTGCGTAAACCTAAACAACTAAGCCTAATGCTTAATGTACACAGGCTCTAGGAGTGGCAGCAGCAGTCGCGCCAGCACGCCTGGCATGCCGCGGTCCTCGACAGTACCGAACATCGTGTCTGCGAATAGATGGAGCGTGTACAGCTCCTCACAGAACCTACCCGCTGCTCTGAACGATCCCAACAAGAGTAGAAGTGAAGCGATGGTGTTCTTCACGCGCACGTGGGGCACAGTGTTCATCGACAGGGTTGACATAGCCGCCTCGCCCTACCTGGATGACATCACGAGGACTGACTTTGAAGATTACATGCAGAAGACGTCTGTGGTGAGAAGGGATATTTAGTAATCCAAAGGAGATTCCCCTGCTTTTCTAAGAAGACTTTGAGGTCAATGTAAATTTGATGACAGAATTGTAGGGGATGCTCTTATCAACTATATTCTCAGCTTAGAACAAACATTCTCAATAGTAATGTATAGCTAAGGAAGGTTAGAGTGGGAATATGATTACATCGTGTACATCGTTGAGCCTCTAGTGTTGTTTTATTTCTTGAGACTGTTTCTGTTTATGTGATTGTTTATAGTATATATTATAGTGTATATATGTAGTATGTATATATATATATATGTATATATTGTAGTATATATTATAGTGTATTATAGATAGTTTATAGTGTAAATTCATAAAACTGCCTTGTCTGCATGTGTAGAGATACAGAAGACATCAACAGTACAGTCAGCCTGCTAATGAGAAAGATAAAGAAAGAGATGTCGTGAAAATCCTGCACAACAAGACAAGAGGTAAGTAAAAATCTGCATTTACACCTCAGAATTAATTAGGGCGTATTGGAATTAGGTGCACTTGTGTATGTAGTGCTATTTTTAATGTCATTATATCGAACAATGTGGCAAAATTTGCTATTTTGTATACCATTATAACAGCATAAATCCTTGGTAATTTTTGAGCTGGTGTAATAAGTAGCTACTTGGCAACATGTTTATAGATCTTAGATGTATTTGAGAGATGCTTTTTTCAAGGGTTAATAATGAGTGTGTAGTGTGTCACTCACATTCACATTCACATTCCACGAACGTAGGCAAATGTGCAGGAATGTTTATTTTGCATCGCGCAGAAGCCGTTGAGTTGGCGCGCAGTGCAGACTTGGATCAGATACCCAAGGTGTTCATGCAACCAAACTTTCAACTGGAAGATCCGGATACGTTCCGGGACGTGCTGCCCTGGAGCCAGCTCGAGTCCTCATCTAATGGGGCAGCCGTTGAGACCAAGGCGAGGCAGAGTAGCAGGCTACTGCAGGAAAAGGTACTGTCTGACCTCTTGCTTTTGTCTGCGTTACTGCCTTGCCTTCATCAGGGCTCGAATCGACCTATCTCTCTAGCATGATTGACAGGCAGCTCTAGACAATAATTATTGTAATGTGATGTTCTAAAGACAATGCGTAGCAACGATGTACCATATAGTTGAGTGTTTTAGTGTTTGCTTGTAAGACCTTCTAGCAATATTCAAGAAGGGAGTGGTTATCTCACAGATGTGGATATGTCGATATTACAATGGCATCAACAGTAAGTGTGCTGGTGCCTCAAAAACTGCATGATATTCACAATAATAATCTGCTGTGACTGCCCCTCCTGGTTTGTCTCTATGCTCTTTTAATAAATTTAGTGTTATGTATTTATCCTTACCTGTCTAGCAAAAAAGTGCTGAATAGATTGCCTTTCTACCCCTCCATCGAAGGAAATATTTGTTTTGGAACCCCTCCAACTTGTCCCAGTACCATAAAAAGTTTATTGGACCCAATGGCACAATTGCATTGTCCTAAAATACTAAAATTCGAACCCCTACTATGCTTGTTTCTCTGTCATTCCATCTGTCAGGTGCTGCAATTTGCCATCTGCTGATTTCTTTTGCCCCCAGACCACCAAATCAGAGGCAAGTAATAGTCCTGTCATTGTTCGATGCAGAATAATTCACAAAAGCATGAAGCCTTGTGCACCCACATCATTCGTGATGTGTGTGTGAAGTATTTTCTGTCTGTCTTGGTTATGAACACAAAATCTCTTTCGAAATTAAACGCAGCTGAATGTATGGGGAATAAATGGATGTATGGAAAGCTATTGGACTGGAAGGCTCCTGCAGGAACAGGTAGGAAGACTTGAGGTGAAAAACTGTGTCCGATTGGCAAGTGGTGCATCTAAAAAACGTGCAAAGCAAACATTACTGAATGCACATGTAATGTTTATGTTCTCTTGATATCATATCGTGCACAGGGCAGTAAGGTTTGCAACCATCTCGTGTAGTATGCATGATCAGGCAGGTGCATTTGGTCATAAATTCACATGGCATGGCATGTATTTGAAAAGCATGGGAATCAACAATAATTGAGACAAACTCCATGTGCCTGAGTCTTGGAGTTAAGGATCTACTTGGGCATACAGTTCTTGGTACTGTGACAATAGATGGCAGCACCTTGTAATCTGTATATTTGTTGTAATTTCAAGGTACCGATTGCTGCAGTCTATTTATGTGTGCAGATAGCCTTACCTTACTGGTTGAATTCTTGGGTGTCGTATCAGGTGTTATTTGCATAATACTAAGCTAAGTGAGTGGGGAACTGCAGTGTGGAAAATGTAGGACCTGCTAACTGTCACATACTGCACTGTACAATAGCATCATCATGCTAACCTTGATTTACTCCCTATCCTCTGGTATATAGCTAGAATATAATGCATGCATTCAGTCATCGTTCTTCGTTGGAAGCCATCTAGTTTCACAATCCACTCTACGTTGTACGTACTATTATATCCATTCTCCCCCTATTTACATGTACTATAGTTTTGCTTCAGGCCTTTCATTCCACTTATTGGTTGTTTTTTATTAAATCCTTCTATTTACTCACAATCTCCACAGTGCTTGAAATTTGCTCTGCTACATGAATTACGTCTTTGACTTTGCATTTGTGAACATTAGTACCTTTAAATTGAAAAATTACTGTTTGCTTAGTCCATATTTTTAGTTAAATTGTGTCTAAATTATACTAAATGCAAATTTGTAGTTCAATATTCACTAGAGAAACCTAGAAAAATCTAAATATGGTCGATGAATTTTTACACATGATGTTGTTAGCACCACTGTTTGTGCTGCACTGGCAATGTTGTACAAATACAGTTTTCAGTCACAAGCAACAGGTCAAGCGGTTCTGATCTATTAAGAAAGATAAGGATTAGGAAGGATGGCAATTTCTTATATTTCACGATTAGTTTCAGTTAGATGATGCAATATGTATTTATCCCAAACAGAAGGTCCTTCAGATAAATAGTAGTTGGGTAAAAATGGAATTACACTATTTTGATTAGCTCTCAGTATAAAATGTGCAAAATGAAATTAAAAAGTGCAACTTCGTGAGGGGGCAATTCATTCATACGGCGTTATTACAGTTTCCATAATTGTTGATTTACTATGTTTATAAACAAAACTTAATGTCTGATAACAGAAATACGATGGCATATACTATTTTGTTTTGCAATAATTATAAGAATATACTTTCAAATTCTTGACTAATGTTTATCTTTAACTTTAGGTATTGAATATGATGTCATGTGCCTGGTGCCTCTAATTAGAGGGCAACACTGTTCCTTGACGTGGGAGGATAGAAAATACATTACACTAATCATACCCAAACGCTAAAGAACATTCATCTTTATTATTTTGTATAATGTATCATATATTATATTGTATATGTGTGCTTATCTATAGGCTGTGACCATAACTCAAGACTGCCACTAGTTTCTTTCACCATCACTTGATGGAGCCACTCTTCTTGCAGCTCACACACTACCTGGACATCGTTGAGGTACAGCTTGCGAAGATGATCTCACTGCGATCAGATGCGTTCTTCCATGCAATGACGTCACACGACCAACTACAGAGCAACATGCTCGCCACCTGTCACTCCATTAAACATCTCAGGTAGCTAGCACCTCACCTATAGATGCTGCCATGAACATGTATATAGAATATAAGTCCCATATAGAATACACACATGCACACACGCATGCACATACGCACGCACGCACACATGCAGCACGTCGTACACATATATGAAGTCATTTCCGTGATTGAGGGAGTCATACAGATTTGTCCAACCAATGAAAGTGAAGTAAGGTTAAGGTAGTAGAAGTTAGGGGAGGAAGGGGCATTTATCACAATTTCAGAGCTTTGACAAATCTCTTTGTTTCCTACATATATGGTGAATAAATTATTTTTTTAATACAGTGAGATACAACGTTTTATTTTCCTGTAGGTGGCATATTTTTGTTAATCAGCAATACTAGTGCATTTACAAGGTATACTGATATTAAAAATGGCTAAGTTTACATTGATAAAGATGGATAATTACATGGCTTATTGTTAAGGTATTGATATCGTCGCTGCTTTCAGGGATAGGGTGCACACCATTGATAAGGTATTCGTTGAAGGGCCACTAAAGATCATGAAGCTCAAGAGTAAACGAACTAATTACGTCACCATGTATAACAAGGTATGTGAGTAATTTTATTTAATTAATTAGGGCCAACCTAGTTGTTAGCTCATCTGACGTAGTCAGATGCAGCTTGTAGAATCGCATGATCGTCCGTCCGTCCGGCCGTCCGTCTGTGCGTGCGTCAACAGTTGGGCACAAATCTTAACTGCTCGACGTACGGTCACGATATTCGGGACGTGGGGGGGTAATCTGAAAACGAGTTGGGATGTCGACGATGGGGGTCAAAGGTCAAGAGGTGTAAAAGAAGGGGGAACATTCCCTCCTTAACTTAAGGTATAGGGAGGAAATGCAGAATTGCGGCACAAATCTAAACGGCTCGACCTAGGCTCGTGATAGTTGGTGTATAGCATCATGGTAGAAAAAGCCATCACTGTGCTGAAATTGGAGGTCACAGGTCAAAGGTCAATGGGGCACAGGGCAGATTTTAGACATTTTCTGAGGACATGGTCTGACGGAGCGATTGGAAAACTTTTTTGTTTCAGCGGTGACCTACCATTTTTATGGCGTTATTGAAAGTATCATGAAATGTGCTTTCCACTGACGTGCGAAGAGTAAGTGTCTGATAACCTTTTGACCTTCAAGAGGAGGGTTAAACATGGATTTGTTGACTGTTAACAAAGGACTGTACTGTGTTTGATGGTACTTGTGTGATCGTGGAAGACTTAAATTTCACAGTGAAATTCTGCATGCAAAACTTACTTGAACAACGTTTCCGCGCCTTAAATCATATATATATGAACTTCATTCTCTATATGAGATTCTGTACGTTGGGAATACAATGTCAATAGCACTTACGCAAACGTCTGTTTTTGATTAAGGCCAACTATAAATAGTACTACCTCGCAGGTGGGTGGCTGATAGCATGGCTGATATAGTATAGTATGATAATAGTATATAGTATAGTATGATAATAGTATATAGTATAGTATGATAATAGTATCACAGCATGGGCTAAACGTAGACTGGTACTCGCTCCCACCTCGATTACGCGCCCCATCGAGTAACTAAGCCGAGAGGTGGGACCGGGTACCAGTCTACGTAATACGATGCAGTATGCACGCCATCTATCGGAACAGAGTGAGAAGAATGTCCTGGCACGATAGGTCAAATGTATATTGCACTCAAAAGTGCAGAAAGAATTACTTTCTTAACTTCAGTTTAATCAATTCTGAGATAAGTAATTGCAGAATTGAATCGTCAAACCTATCAATGAAAATTTGCCAGTTTTGTACTGTCCTTGGCATGGCTCTCTCCGTCAACGTTACAGTAGTGTGCAATGTTGGGATATGGTGGAGCATGCTGGCTTGCAGAGCCCGATGGTTGACTGTCAGTCGAAATGTGTTGATCCTCCCCGACATTGAAGAAATCTGTACGTTATACGTGCGTCTACCTTACCTCTCCCCGTCATCTTCGTCGAAAGTTTGGACGCCGCGCGGCGAAATCAGAATGTACATTTTAATCGATGACGTAACTGATACAGTAGCGCGCCGTGTGGGTGTTATTTGATTATAAATAATTTAGTCTGACTGACTCTCTCCCTCTTTCTCCTCTCGCTCTCTCTCTCTGCAATAAAAAAAATGTTTGCTGAAATGATGTGTACGCACGACTGAAATGTTATGTTTATAACCGTAGCAACAGACCTCAGATGAGCCCAGTCGCTCTGCGGCACTTGTTAGAATATACACTTTGTTGACAAATATTTTTTGCTAAAAACAGAAAATCAATAAAATCGTCCCAAAAATGAAAGAACATTCACGTGTGAACTTCTTTATGGCCACATTGTGTCTAATCTTTAAGCAAATCGAATGTAAGAATAATAAGGTGGTATGAAGAAATTCAGTGTCAAATCGTATTCCAGGGTATATTTTTACCAAAAAACTTGGTACATTGACATGCACATGGGAGAACTCACTTTACATACATGTACTATTCACAGCTCTTTATTTCCTTCCTGCCTGTGTTGAACTGTAAGGGAAAGCCCTACGTTTTACCCATTGAGCTTACACCTGCACGAAACCTGTCTGCTGTGGCGTGCATGTCATTGTACACCCTTATCTAGCTAAAAATCCCGCGAAAACCATCATTCTCCCTGTACATTTGGCCTGGTTACCTTGTCTGCTCGCTCCGGCTTTTAGCCTCGTCCATTTCACTTGCCTGTTTTCCTATCCAGTTTGCTTTGTCTATCTTTTATCTAATTTTCTTGCCTGTTTGTTTTGGCGGATAGTGGAATGGGATGGTGACAGTGTATCAGATCCAGTAGCTGCTGTCTAGGGCTGAGTTTCTCTACCCCTCCCGCGCCCCTGCTGGCACTGCTCACCGCACTAACGCGTGCACTGTCATGTTGATAGTTGAAGATGATGGCGACGGTGCATCAGACGCAGCCGACCATCCAGCTGCTTCTATCCACGTCTGAGTTTGTCGGCGCTCTTGACCTGATCTCGACGACACAGGAGGTGCTAACGCAGGAGCTCGCTGGCATTGTCAGCTTCAGGTGTGTGTGTGTATGTGGGTGTGTTGGTGTGCGCGTGGGTGTGTGCGTGTGGGTGTGTGCAGGTGTCTGTGTGCGTGTGTACGTGCATGCGTGTGGTGTGTGTCCATTTTTCCATGTCCATTAAACAAAAATCCGTTGGTTGAACGTTCGTTAAAAGATACAATAGCATGTGCCTGCAATTGTGCGGGAGATGCCGCTCTCACCTCTACACCGAAGCAAACGTTTACCTACTGGAAAAAATTACCCAGTTGCTTCAAATACATACATGGACGGTGAAGTGAGTCAGCTAGGACAATTTAGACATTTGGAGATGTACATATTTAAAATCTCGAGGCCATTCACTTCAACTGTTTAACCTCAGACAGTCTCAGGGAATTCCTGGCTGCTCAGTTAAATAGGTAGACCAACCCATATTCATGTATTATTCCTATTCCAGACATTTGGGGTCACAGCTGACTGAAATGGAAAAGCTCATTGATAAGATGATGCAATCTGATTTCGTTCGATATGCCGTGGCTGACCTGACGCGACCCCTGACCCCAGAGCAGGTGCAGGTCATGGAGGAGGTAGGTGAAGCCAGGCTTACTACAGGAGAAGGATAAAGTAAATCAACTAACAATTAAAACGAATGACCTGCAGCTATTTTTAGATTCGTATCGTTTATCTCCTTCTCTCTAGCAAATCACTTCCTTCTCTGTACACATGCCCACATCCCACTCCTGCTAATGGTCCTCCAGCTTACCATCATGCTCTATTTGTCTTTTTTTATTGGCCACAACATATATTATATGTGTGTGCGCGTGCTTATGTCTGTGCGTGCGTGCATGTGTGTCATTGGTCATTTCTTTTGCAGGAGCGATTGGTGACAATACTGTTTGGAATGCTGCAACAAAGGAAGTTTGTCTTTGTTGATATGTACAGAGAGGAGGCAGCAGCGACCATCAAAGCCATAATCAAACAGGTATATATATATTTATTATATAATGTATATAATTTGGTTATAACCACCAACATTTGGACAGACAATTAGAGTTTTCAGTGGTCATAATACTGTAACAGCTGTAGTCGAGTTTCGTTAGTAGGTGCTACTGCTACTGCTGCTGCTAACGTGTGTCTGCTACTACCTACTACCACTACAATTTCCCCTACTACAACCACCATGATCCCTACTACTGATAATAATTCTAATATATTAATTATATATAATGATATATAATAATAACTATAAATATATTATATTTATCATATTATTATATATTTACTATATTATATATATATATATATGTATATATATTATATATATATTATTATAACTAAATCTGACTAATGATAATGTGACACCGACCTTCTACTGTTGACAGACTGTCATCGAGATAGTCTCGCAGGCAGACGACATTGATGTGGAAGGCAACGTGTCCAGGTAGGCTCTTCTTTTTCACCTTTTTCCTAGCCATGTGTTGTGGGCAGTCTGACATAGCTGTGACTAAAGACTAAATGCTGCTGCAGACGCTTAGACTAAAGACACTGCTACAGGCTAAACATCTGTAGGCGCGCAACACTTGTCCGTATCTTGAGGGGAGATCGAAGGTGACTATGCAGGATGGCACAGCAAGAGGCAAAAACAAACGTCTCAAATGCAATCCAGAAGCCTTCTGTGTTCGAACCTATAGACTATTCTTAATTATTATTCATGACCTGGGGTCACGCACGAAAACGAGGCTAAGCTACGCAATTTTGTAAACAATGGCTGCTCAGGCAGGCACGCACAGAAGGGGTACACGCACGTACACGCACGTACACGGAGATACACTTACGTACACGCGGGTACACGCACGTACACGCAGGTACACGCACGTGCACGCGGGTACACGCACGTACACTCACGTGCACGCGGGTACACGCGGGTACACGCACGTACACGCACGTACACGCGGGTACACGGAGATACACGCACGTACACGCGGGTACACTCACGTACACGCACGTACACGCAGATACACGCACGTACACGCGGGTACACGCACGTGCACGCGGGTACACGCACGTACACGCAGATACACCTCGTACACGCGGGTACACGCACGTACACGCAGGTACACGCACGTGCACGCGGGTACACGCACGTACACGCACGTGCACGCGGGTACACGAAGATACACGCACGTACACGCGGGTACACGCACGTACACGTACGTACACGCAGATACACGCACGTACACGCGGGTACACGCACGTGCACGCGGGTACACGCACGTACACGCACGTACACGCGGGTACACGGAGATACACGCACGTGCACGCGGGTACACGCACGTACACGCACGTACACGCAGATACACGCACGTACACGCGGGTACACGCACGTGCACGCGGGTACACGCACGTACACGCA